TGTATACATGTTTTGTCTGTCACATCTCAGGAATAACAGTATTGTAAATTCATGGGGTGTGACATTAACCTTCTCTCATAAAAAGAACAAAGAACAAACATCAATCTTGAATTGCATAGTGGGGGTCTGGTTGACTACTGAGTTGGTAGAGGAGAGGTATTTTGGCCTAGGTTGAGGTGTGAAGTGAAGCAATATGTGGATGTGGATCAGTGGCTTGCTTTCCCCTCGCATGAAAAAAATGAAAACACTAATGCGTTGCACTTTGGTTGTTCAATGTGAGGATTTGAAGGGGGTCCAAGTGCGGTACACCCAGACGTTTTACTATGGGTGTTTTACATAGTAATGCGTTGCACTTTGGTTGTTCAATGAGAGGATTTGAAGGACGTTTTACTAAGTACTAATATTATATATTTCTATATTTTATTTATACATGGATGTGTCTACTTGTGCTTTAATGTTTGGGCAATGTTTATGGCAGTTAGACAGATGTCAGAAATGGACACCTGTGTGCATGTCTGGTAACAAAATATGTAGTACAATGTTTGTATTTTCCTTGTTTACTAAATGTATGGTTACATGCGCTCCAAGTGAAATATCCTTCTTACACAAAGCCTAGGCAACAATAAACCAGATTCATAGTTTACAAGAGATCAGCAAGGATTATCATAAGCACAGCACACAACATTTTTATAATGATAAATGCATGCGACAATTACCTTTGAAAAGTACCCCACCATATGGCATCCTCGGTCATCACATTCACAAAGAATGTAGAAAAGGAACAAATCAACATCATAATAGAGTGTCTTGTGGTCAAGAAACAACTTTGCCAGATAGCACAAATTCTGTGTATATACCTTGTTCTTCTTTCCATCAACCTGTCCAGAAAAGAAACAATTTACTGTTAGGAAGCTTCTGAAGACCAAAATATAAATATAAAAAAAATCAGAAATTTGAGCTGCAACAGCTAAACCACAGTTCCAAATCCAGAAGGCAGTAGTGGACAGCAACAATTAAACGGCAACTTTAACATTTGTCCACAAAAAACAATCATAACAATGACGATCGACAACAAAAGATTGGATCAAACTCACTTTCCAAGTTGAACAGTCTTAACCACAATAGAGTCATGTGTCTTAGCAGAAATTAAACGAATAGGAACTGAAACAATAAATGTCCCCGGTAATTTTTTTAATTTGAAAATGAAATCTAGAGTGATCAACAGAAGCACAGGAAACTCCTAATTACAATAACACCTTACAGCTTTTGTGAGTTACTGAAATGAAGCCTGAATTCTGCCATGCCCTCGTTAATCTGATGTTTAGAGGCTGAAACTACTGGTTCTATGTCTAGAAAAAATATTATTACCATCTTTTTCAGTTAGAAAAGTTAATTGTGCACTAGTAAAAACCAAAAACACCATAAACTGCCCCTCAGAAGTTGCAGCACTTCAATACTCAATGTTGCTTCACAGATCCAACAACCTTTCTGAAAGACTCATCTTAAAGGAGGGTTAGAGAGGAATCAATAATTCAACAGGCAGGTACGAATAACAATGCTCGAAATTTTCAGTTCCTAGACTGACCAGAAAAGTTTTCAGGCTCGAAAACAGGGGCTTCATTGTTGATGATAGATGAGGATTTGTGACAGACAACATGCAGTAACAGCTATTCCTGTGTGTGAAGTGAGACAACTCCACCCACATAAGATTAGTGTCGAAGTGAAAAGGATGGCTTCCTTTCTTGAGCATTATCGGCAGGTCAGGGACCTCATGTTCAGGGGACTCCATTTTTGGGAAAGGGAGAGCATCCATATTGGTGGTCAGTATCAAGAGGTACAGAAAATCATGAAGTGCATTGGGAAAGGGATTTTCACCTCATGTTCGACTGTACCTCTTGCAAGGGATTGACCTAATTACAGTACGACTGATATAACTGGCCATAGATTTGACACGAAGTGCATAAAGGAAGAGGACAGGGTAGGAAAGCTATTTGCTTTTACGTGGGAAAGATTTTAAATGGGAAAAATCTGATCTCTAGGGCCTAATAGAATGGACTTAATAGTTCTATGCTGGAAGTTGATCACAGGACAAGTACAATGGGGAGTCCTAGGAGGGTCACTGAAGTCACTTCAATGGGATCGTAATGCTGGATCACAAGTGATAGGAGTATCATGCTGGCCATAAGTAATGTGGATTAGGCTTTATATATCTTCTAGGGCATCACATGTTCATTATTGAATCATACTACGACATATCAGGAACCAAAACAAAACCACCATCATATTTCTTTTTGAAGAAAAACAAAATGCATCATATTAGTTTGAAAAATGAAGAGACTTGTCTCATTTCATAAACAAGGTACATGTCATTACTGCAATCATATTACCCAAAGCAATGGATAACAAGAGAGACTTACCTCGAACATTGACAATGTGCCACTGCGGTAGATCTCATCACCAGGGGGATGCTTGAGATCACACTTTCTCTACATTAAACAAAAAGAAAAAGTAAGTAAACTACAAAACTTATTAACTAATGCAAATTTGGAAGTTCAAAAATGTCTCAAACATGCAATTTCAAAATATATAAATCAATGGTGAATAACTCATGATCATAAAAGAGTCATCGTGTCTTAAAAAAAATTCCCGAGCACATATATCCTTTTGACATTGAAAAACAAAAAGAGTGAATGTCAAGCCAAAAGATAACAATCCCACCGTACACATTATTCCCAAGCATGGATGGCCTACACAGATAGATCAAAAGGAAAAAGCCACCATGAGCATTTTAAATAAATATTGAACACCCAAGAGTTCTTTTCAGTGTCCAAATGGAAAGCTATGCAGAAAGTTTTTCATAAGAACCATCGATTTTTTTTTTTTTATCAGCTGAAAAACTAAACCGCCACTACACACATGAGGAAGATCAAATTATGAACATACTCAATAAGCAATTGAGGATCATCTATCAATCAATAGAAACACAAGTTCCGTACTTATCTGGCATGCATAAGATTTCAAATAAATCAGCTTCACTTAAGAATTGAGAGAGAGAGAGAGAGAGAGAGAGAGAGAGAGTACTAACTTACTAATTGTTTTCTTTACTAACTAATTAGTAACAACGAAAACCTAAATTAGTAGTAGGTACTAACGTAAACGTTTCCGTTCGGTTACCAACCTAACGTTACGGA